TCATGACTTCAACAGGTTGAAATGAGCTTTGAAGAAACATTCAGTGAAATAAATCTTTCATGGATTCATGTGAGCAGCAGATGAACTTTACAAAGAATCAGTGGATTTATCTTCTGTTTTAGATCAACTTTGATCACTTCGAGCCATCTTAAGTCCGTTTGTTCTTCTTCACTCACTAACGTCTCATATGATTTCAGATCCCTGCTGTTCCCCAGCTGCCCTGTAGGTGCCTCAGTGTGTCTCACACCATTTACAGATGATTACAGGTCGTTTACAGTTCAAACAGGTCCAACATAAGAAATATGCAGAAAATATCCTGCTATAACAGTTTGGGTCAAAGTGCAGATGTTCCAGATGTTCTGAGTCTGTCTGTGTTTCATGTTAACATGTAGATGTTGGACCAAAGTGAAGCTTTTTGATGTGACAGCAGGAATGTGAAGTGTAACTCTGAGCTGTAGGAAATGAAACTAAACGGACTTTTTCTCCTTTATTTATAGGAAAGTGTAGGAGAGCAACAGATGAACAAGTGTTACTGTAACAGGAAACATCAGAGGACCTGTATGTTCATCATCATCACTGTTTCCTTGTTCTGTCACAAACCACAACACTTCCTGCTCTCTCTCTGATGGATCTGATTGGCTGTTTCATTCACAGGAGGTCAGGGCGTCACACAAACAGCTTTAACTGCACAACGACACACTTTAAATCATCTGCAGACAAACCTGTGTGTTTGATTTATGAAGAAATAATAAAGACGTGTGTACAGCTGTCCATGAAGCAGCTTCTCACACAAACTCTGACACTTCAGCCACTTTAATTCCTGCAAAGCTGCGTAATAAAGAGCTGTGACTGCTATGAGCTGCTGATGATGACTGCATGAAGCTCTCAGCTGAAGCTTCTTTCATTTATTTTAATGTTAATGTCGCCTTTTTAAGTCTGTGTGAGGATTTTAATGACACACATTAAAGGAGCTTCTTTGATTAGAACCAAATTCATGTTGATTTTCAGCCTGAAATGATAAAAACTTTAATAATTCTGTTTATAATCATCAACCTGGAGACTAATGAAAAGTATAATAGTGAAAAAAAGCCTTTATTATTTGAGTAATGCCTGAATCTGCTCAGAGACGGAGACAACACAGAGGTGTTGATGACAGTTTGACATTAACTGAATTAAAAACAAAGTGCTCTTATTGTGAAAATCTGCCTCCTACTTCTTTAAATCATTTTTATGTATTTTTTAACCTCACAGTGAAACATTGAGGCATTAATCTGACACAGTTTGATCAGCAGCTGTGTTTTCACTGACGTTTCACTTTGATTTGTTCAGACTGAGCAGAGAGGATCGGTTCTCTGTGTGCGCACTGCTGAGAAACACAAGCTCATTTCTGCTGTTTCATGAAAAGTGTTATGGAGGAACAAGAAGTTCAGCCTCTAAACTCTCAGCGTGAGGACTGAGTGAAGAGTTTCAGAGCAGAGAGTTTTGGCTCACAGCTTTTAGCGTCTACACAAAGAGACGATTACGCACTTGATCTGAGAACATCTCCACCTCCTACAAACAAACTCTCCTACGAGCAGCTGTCACAACCACAACAGGCAGAAGACTGGATCCTGCTGCAGGTTAATGATTGATCTAAAGGCAGCTGACCTTTGAGCAGGAACTTGTGAGTCTTTTATTGTGTTTAATGCTCACAGTGCTGAAGCCTGCAGACACACCCACATCATATTATTTGTTCTCAGGGTTGTTCGGCGTGGTGGAGTGGGAACAGAAACTTTCTGCAGGTTAATTATTGATCAAACTAAAGTCATATTAAGGAGCTACTGGCACGGAGTCAGAGCAGAGCTCAGAAATCTGAAATATATCAAAGTATATTAAAGTTAGAGTTTAGAGAACACTGTTTGGTTAGCTGCCTCAAAGGCAGATGACTCTCAATATCACAAGATCAGGTGAAATTTCAGACCAAGGGAAAATCACTGGGATTATCTGTGAAGAGGCAGAAAAGCATAGACCTCGTCTACCTTATAGACATTTTGAAAAGGTAAGAGTGAATCTGTCTTCATTCATCTACATGGAAACATAAAACCAAAAAACAAACCAATACAACAAAATCACACCCAGTAGGGCTGGGCGATATAAACAATAAACGACAGAATCGATTAAATTTGGTCAACGATAGAGATTTTGACTATACCGCTCTATCGCGACAGCGCATGTGATGATGTCATCAAACTGCACCTGTTTTGGTCGAAAGCATCGCAGCGGTTAAAACCATTATCCTCTGCAATTATGCTGGGTGACAGTCACAGCAAAGAGATGAAGCACTTTTGAAACGCGGGGAAAGCCAAAAACTGCGCTTCCTCCACTTCCGTAACATTGATTCAATAATGTTGAATTCTCTGCAGCTGCTCTATTCCCATGTTGTGGCAGTATATTAATAACTAGCCTCGTGTTGTGGATGAATGATCTCAGTTGTTCTCGTGACTGAAGTTTGGCCCGTGTACAGCATCCTGCTATGCGACTGCATTTGTCCCTGACCACCAGAATCACTCACGTTAACTTTTATCGAGTGGAAAAAGAGTTGGGGTTCATCCTCCAGCTTCACTGTGCTAATGTTATGCTAACATAGCTGTGTCGCTAGCAATCACGTAGCACAACATTATATACCAGGTAGTCCAACTTCAGTAACCCTGCAAACGCCACTGCTGTTTAGTTTCTGTCTTCATTTATGCTGGAAGTGACAACAGAGCTGTTTGAATTAGTTTCAAAATTCTCAGTCAGAACATGGTATGAAATGTTTAGGTGTAAACTAGCGCGCTAACTTCCTGTTAACTTCTAACTCCGTTAAATTTAATAAATTCTGTTTTCATGGATATTAAACTTAATTGTTACATCTGCTAAAGCAGCAACGCTGATGATTTTATTAAAGATGAAAGAATTTAGACCGTTTTTAACTCTCAGTGTTCGTTTGACTTTGGGACCTGAAGCTGTCGGAGTTTTGGACCCAGATTACTCCGTGAAGCTCCTCACCACGGCAGCCGTAATGCTCTGACGATCCATCAAGCAGTGCGGCTTACCAAAGTTGTGCTAAAACATTTTTAACAGATTTCTGCAGCCAAAATCGGTTCGAGGTCACCAAGCACAACCAGAATTCATACATAAGACACACTCTTGATTTTTGAGAAAATTAAAGGATTGTAAGTGTGCCTTATAGTGTGGAAAATACGTTATACAGAAGAAAAGAATATATCGCGATATATATCGTTACCGCACATGCTTCAAATTATACCGCGATATGGATTTTAGGCCATATTGCCCAGCCCTAACTCCCAATTTATTTACAACATTTGAAACATACAGTGTAGCTCCGTCAAAACACTCCAAGGCCAAGTGAAAGTGCTGAGAGGGAAAAGATCATGATTAATGATTTATTTAAACTCATAACTGGGTGCAGCAGCTGACTTTGACCTGTGAGCTGCAGCTTAAGCTTCTTTTATGGTTCAGTGTTTAATGTGTAAACTGTTTATCACTGCAGAGACGCCTACAGGCTATCTACTGTTCAAAAGTGAATTGTTATACACAGTGCAGCAGCTGACCGTTGACCTGTGAGCTTCAGCCTCTTTGCTGGTGTGAAGTGTTTAATGTGACGCAGTCTGCAGACACAGACGACTGCTGACGGAGAAGAAGCAGAGGATTTTCTCTGTTTCTACACAGACCTGGTCCAGACAGCAGAGAGCTGCAGAGTGAAGACGTTCATTGGAAGAAGCTGAGTAAGTTCAACGTCCTCTTTGAATCCTGGATCAGGAAGTGAATATTTGGTGTTTAAATAAGGTTTCTGTCTTTGACTCAGTCTGCTGTCACTTTTTAGAGAGAAAAGGAGATTTTAGATTAACTGGTGTTCCTGCTGCTCCAGCATTAAAGCACAGTATAGGTGACTGCGCTGATGCCTGTTTATAATTTCACCAAAGCTAATAAACTGTTGGCTAAATTTTCTTGTTTTCAGATGTAAACAGAGGTGAGAGGAGCAGATAATAAGGATTAAATATTATGCTGAATAACTAAATTCTGCTAGTCTGTGACGTAACTCCCAGCAGCATCGCCTCATTTCTTTGACCTTGACCTAGCTAAGCTAACATGAGTTAGCTTAGCTAGCAGAGCAGCTATCTCTGCTGTCTGTCATGTGACCGAGTCAAGTGTGTGTAGTAGACTTGTTAGCATAGCTAGCAGGCTGAAAGAAGCTAGCAAACTGTGTGAACACTTTGTAAGAGGTGAGCAGTGAAGGATAAGGAGCTCCTCCAAATGCTGATAATGCACTTAACCTGAATTTACTGCTTGTTACATTATATGTGATGTTCAGTCAAAAACAATTACTTAAATTAACATTATTATTAGTAGTAGTATTAGTATTAGTATTTGTTTATTATTCATGACATGGCTCCTTACTGTAGTGGTTTGAACAACTGATCTGTGGTTATTGTGTCCCTGCAAATTCAACAATGCGCCTCAATGCAAAGCATCAAACAAATATTTTTATTATCAAGTCCTACTGGATGAATCACCGTAGCTCTGACAGTGAAGCACACTCATTTTTATTGGTAGTCACCTTGTAAGCAATGTTCCCTCTAAGCTGCGCACTGTTGGCACGGTCTCTGCGCAGAGAAAATCTGTATTGAGCACACAAAAAGAATTCTAACCTGAATTGAAATTAAAGTAAATATGTGCCGGTGTTTTAGCAAAGCGGCTGATGTGGAGTGAAGCCACGTTAATGACAACGTGTACAACCATTGGAGATGTGAGCAGGAAAGACGGAACAATTGACAGGAAATGTGTGGACTTTATACCAGTTTTTAAATTGTGTTGATCGACCACGTAAAACCAGAGTTATGATAAAATATCTGCAATGTTTGGTTTTCTTCCTGAATACTGTCGTTGTTTATATTTACTGCAGGAAGAAACGGTAAAAACTGCGTTTTATAAGGAAAACGCTCGAAAGCCTGTGAGCAAAAACAATACCAACCCCCAGCCTTTCCTATTGGTCGAAAAATGTACCATGTCGACCAATCAAAACATGGCATTTAGTTGTTAAGAAACGGAGTGACGGCGGTGTTTTGAGATGTGAGAGATTTGAGACGTTTAGAGCAAATCTTGTGTAGTTAGTGTGTAGTTAGTGTGTAGTGTAGTCAATAGTGTTGTTGTGTGTGTCAGAACAATGAGGCGACTGCTGAGTGTTACAGGTGTTACAGCAGTGATACATCTGCTGTTGTCAGGCCTGCAGGTATCAGGCTGTTGTTCTCCTTCATCTCATAGTGGACACAAATTATTTTTTGGAGCGGCACAAATAATTTGTGTGGCATCAGATTTGATGCAGAACAGCTGATTGTTCTGTAAATAGTTTGAAATGTTTATTTTAAAAAAAACACCTTGGCTGTAGTTTTTTGCAGTAAACAGCTGCAAAAAACTTTGTTTGCAAAACTCAGTTACTTTTTTGAAGAAGTAACTATATAATTAACTGCCCAACATTGGTCATTATTTACTGTATGTTGCAGACAGAGTTACAGACTCTCTCCCAGACCACAGACTCATAATACAAGTCAGAGCTTTATTTAAAGAAAGTTGTGTTTTCAAAATTGAAGTTCAAGTTATTTTTCCTTCCAATAGTGTTAACATGCTACAGGTCATGAACAAGATTTTCTTTTTTAACTTTCATTGTAAGTGGGCTAAAGCAGTTAATTAAAAGTAGTTTAACAGAAATGTAAACGCTGTAAATTGATTATTTTAATAAACATGTAGCTTGGATGGATTCGACGCTGGCGTGACCACAGTGCACACGTCTAATGTCGCTCACAGTGGATCGCTCAGGGAGGTTGTGTGTTCGCTCAGACACGTGAAACATTAGAGGGAACATTGCTTGTAAGTGCAAGCTTTAAACTCTCATGGATGAGTAAAACTCATTAGAAACACTGGCGAGCAGTGAGTGAATAACAGGTCTGACAGCAGCAGCAGGGACGGTGCTGTCATAGTTTAATGTGGAGTCTGTTTGAACTCAAACACTGAAGAGCAAAGAAAAGAACTTTAATGGTTCTGGGTCCCTTTGACCAAGCACTTTGCATTTTTTGTATTATGGTTTATGGTTCTGGTTCATTTACAGTCTTATTTATGCTTCTTTGAGTTTCTTATACTTCCTGTTTAGTTCCTTGATCATTAGATTCCCTCTGTGTCTCTGTGTGTCTCTGTGTGTTGTGTGTGTTTGTGTGTGTTTGTGTGTGTTTGTGTGAGGCCTGGTGCTCCATTCTATATTTCCTCAGCCTGTCATGTCTCTCTTGTCTCCTCTTTCCCTCGCTCGCTCTCGTCTGCCTTTCCTCCACTCCTCTGTCAAGCTCACGTGTCAGTGTTGTGTTCCTTTGTTTGCTGTTTTATTGTGAAAGTCTTGCATTCTTTGTTCAGTGTGTTTCATTTTTCCTGTGAAGGTTCTCAGTCATCCAGGTCATCATAGTTTAAGGAGCTTGGAAAGAAAAGCATCTGGACTTCTGTAAGTTGCTTGAAGATGTTTCGCCGTTATATTTGGGTCCTACCCTGTCTGCATTATGCAGCTAGTTCAAGACCAACATTTTTCTAGTTTCCCAAACAGTGAATCAGTGTGTGTCAGTGAATGCATCGTGTGTGCTTCAGGCTCCATCTAGTGGACTGATAGCAGAGCAGCTGATGGCAGCTTCCTCTGCCTCACACTGCTGTCTGACTGCATCCAGCTGACACTGAGATGAAGCAGGAAAGAAGCAGCTGATATTTGGACAGCACACATGATGAAAGGAGGATTTCAGCTGATGTGCACATGAATGATTTGTGTTTCCTCTGCAGGTAGAAAGTGTGTGTGAGCTGAATTGAGCAGCATGGATCAGTGTGAGGACAGAGAGGAGGGAGTCCCTCCCTCTAAAAGCACTCTGTGTGGGGAACATGAGAGCCAGACCAAAGCTCAGAGGTGAGATGACCATCTCTAACTGTCCATGACTCTTCTCCATGTCACAGCTCAGCACTCACATCACTGCTGCATCATTATTCACAGGAACCAGCCTGGACCTCCACCCAGCTCTGTGTCTTATGAAAGTAACTCAGTCAAAGATGTCATTAAGAGATTTGAGCAAAGACAGTCAGCTGAGAAAAGGTAAGCTAATACCAATAATATCAGCTGATATGTGATGAGAATTTTACTGAAGATTTATAACTTTTTCAGGATCCATCAGAGACTCAAACCTGGACCTCCACCCAGCTCTGTGTCCTTACAGAGTGACGGGTCTGAAGATCGTCTCATTAATTTTAAAGTCCAGCCTGTGTCTGCTGCAGAGAGGTGAGCTGTTAGCAACATGAGCTCTTTGATTAAACTGCTTGATGTTGTTGGATATAAACTACAAACACGTCGTTCCCTCAGTCCCATTTAAACTGTCTTTTAAAACAAGCCTTTGGTTTCTAAACAACTGAAAACCCACTTCAGCAAACAGGAAGTGATCAGAGCGTCCCTCCACTTCCTGTCAGGCCCTGCAAACATTTCATATTGAAGAAAAGTAGTTGACATCTCACATTTTTACTCCACCACATTCAACCATTTTGACATTTTACAGCATGAAACTCTTGTCACATGACTCCTGTTATGTTATAGAGTCATGTGACCACCAGGGAGGGATTTGTATGGATGAAACACATTCAAATCAATCTGATTCATCAATGGAAACATTTTTGGTGTAAATGCAGCAACACTGAAAACGCTGAAGATAAAAACACAACAGATGAAATATGAACAAATTGAGGCTTTGAATACACGTGTGTGTGTTTGAGACACAGAGATAAATGGATTGTGTGTCTGTCCTATTGCTGCGTGAGGGTTTTATTGTAGATTTTGTGCGTGTACACTTTTGACCACGAAGGTGTTGAAAGGGCGTAAAACAGTTGGAGGCACCAGAGTGAACACTAGTGCTGTCAGTAGATTAAAACATGACTAATTAATGACACAATCTTCTGTCATTAATCCTGATTAATCACAATTACTTGATCAATAGCTGCAGTTACATTTTTCCAACTTTATATTTAAGCCTGTAACAGACGTTTACACCATATAATGAAGTCAATGCAGAATAAACACAAAGAATGTTAAACGCTTCAATTCAAAGAGACTTTGAATAGTTTTCAGTCTTTAACTCAGCTTCTCTGCTGTAAATACAACTTTGTAACAAACATATATACTAAAAGCTAAGTGTGCACTAATATATAATAATATATAATCTATATTACTGCTGTTAATGAAAATGTTTAATCAGACTCATCACAGGGTTACTGTGGATTCATTTGGATTAATCACCATTAAACATCATTTTTAATGTAAACGAATCAAAGTTCATTTCATGAGCAAACAGACTCGAGAGAAAAGGGCAAATTTACACACTTAACATGTTTATTGAACATGTAAACATTGATTAACCTCCTGAATGAGCCGACCCCCCCAGGGACAGTCCTGCATGCTAATGATGGGCTCTGCTCTGTACCTGCAGGATTCTGTCAGCCACAAACTCCTCAGCTGATCCTGAATCTGAGCCCATCTGTCAAACAATCATTTTCTTCACAGGTCTGTGGAGGTGGCACTGATCCTGCAGCAGTCTAACACTCTCTGTCACTCTTCTTCAAGTCTTTGACACGAGGAACCAAAACTATGTTATTAACAACACTAACAGGTCTGCAGTTTGTCCACTTGGCAGTTGTGTCATCAGTGCTTTGCATTGTTGTGATATTTTAAGCTGGAAGTGCTTCGGTGAAAAGAAAATTCCTTCTGTCACGATGTGCAGAATCCTTCATGTTGGTCGGCTGGTCCGTCTTGTTATTTTTTTAATGCTCAAACTTTCATCGAGAGGTCAGTGTGTGTTTGTCATCTTCCATATTGAGCTGATTGGTTCAGCTGCCGTCACTAACAGATGTGCTGCACATCTGCACGTGTCAAAGTAACTCTACTCGGACAACTGCCGAAGTGCGTTGATAGAAACATTTCAGGGATTTTGAGTCGTTCTGCTCTCCAGATGTGTCGTGTTAAAGGTTTTTATCATGTTAATCATGCTAACAGATGAACCCCTAACCCTAACCCTACATGTTAATTTTGACAGCACTGGTAAATCCTTTTTAATGTTCTTCTGTCAGATCATTGATTAGACTCGACTCCAAATACGAGACTCGGAAAACTCAAATGAAAACTCAAATCAAAGCAATGAGAAAAGGACTTCTTGTGTTAGAATGAAAACATATGGAAGTGGTCAGGTTTCAAACACTCGATGAATCTACTGCACAGTTACATTCAGGGACCTTTGGCCTCCTGAGAGCATTAGTTGATGGTTCATCACAGTTTTCTCAAAGTTTCCTCTGAGCTTCTGCAGCATCATCACTTCCATCACTGATGAAAGAAAGTTCATAGAAAACAGAAAATATATCTTCAGAATCTGAGAGTTTAAAGCTTGACAGACTTGATTCAGATGAAGTTATTTGAGCAGAAACTCCTGGATCTTTATCCTGTGTTGATCTAATCCTTCATGGTTCTCCACAGAGTGGACCAGCAGAGCTCAGAGGTTCCCAGTGGTCAGTCTGCCCAGCAGCATCAAACACAGCTGGACTCCATATTTATGGTCTGTACATGTACAACAACTACTTATTATTAATATTAATAATAATGCATTTATTTATAGGTCCCTTTCAGAACACCAAGGACTCTGTGGACTAAACGACCAAAAGAAACAAACTTTGAAATCAGACGGTGCAAATGTGATCACAGGGAAACGTTTTAAACATCGAGGCTTTAAACAGAAACCAAAGTGAAACAGTTTGTAGTCGAGATCAGTGGGGATGAAGCTGAATAACTGTTTCTTCAATAACTTTGAGCTCTTAAAAAACAAAAACTAGCTGAAAGTCTGGCTGCTCTTATGAAAAGTACAGAGAAATTATGGGTCGCTCAACGCTTGTGCACAATATAAGAGTTTAAATAAATCTAAAGAATAACTCAAATCCTACAATCATACTGAGAAATCATCTACAGCTAACTATCCAAGTGGATTTGTTTAAGACAGCTCCATCTGCTGGTGGCCCTCTGCAGGTGCATGAAAGGGGCGTGTTTATAGTGAAAGTAGTAGAGAAAGTAAACCCCACGGGAAGGAGGAGGACTCTCAGCGCTTCCAGCTCATATTCAGACATTTGACTTCTCACTGAAAGCAGCAAGTTTGAGTGTCTGTACCTTAGTTAGAAGAGATAACATGTCAGTAGTAATTAGAGTTGATTGAGCAATGCTGTCCTTGTAATGTAGTTTATGATTTTTATGGACAAGTCCAGTTTTTCTGTAGAGCCTCTCAAGTTGGTGACAGCAGCAGTGGAAGTTCACGTGTAAACCAGAGCAGCAAATCAGGTCCAAATGTGTTGTTCACAGTGAGTGGGATCATCATTGGCTGCTATGTTAACCTCCTGCAGCAGGATGTCTTTGGTCAGAGAATGGATAGATCACTAAGTCATTGTTGAGTTTAGGGAGACAGTAGACAGTTGGAGGAGGTTCAGCCAGTTGACACACAGTAGATAAAATAACTGAAGGCAGGAGCAGACACCTGTATGACTTTCCACCTCTCACATAGATTATTGTCCCTGGGCAGCGCCACAGGGCTGGTAGATGTAAACAAAGCTGGAGGAGAGGATTTATTCATCTGAGAAAAGTCACAGAGTTGTGTCTTGATGCTCAATCATCCAGGTACGTAAATCCCAAAAAGCTTGATTCTGTTCATCTGGATGTTTTCAGTGGGAGAAACGTTTCATCATCATCAGGTGACTTCTTCAGTCTCAGCTGACTGCAGGTTTCAATCTCATAAACAGGACATTTGTATGACTGAAACCAGCCCACTGAAGGAACAATGGGCTGGGAGGTCAGTTCATTGATCATTGGTACGCATATTGTCAGGACCATTGATCAATGGTTGTTGATCAATGGTCATGAGTCCAGTTCACAGAGAGCTGGGGAATGGCTGCAATCACAGCATGTAAGATGGTGACAGTTGTACCCTTAGGCCCTCCTCCATTCAGAGATGGTCTTTCCTTTTCACATAAATGGCCTCCTTGACTCCGCCCTCAAACCAGCGTTCACATTTACTCAGGACCTTCTTGATGTGAAGTTCTTCTGCTTCGCTGGCTGCTGTGTCTGTGGGGATGGTGTTTGTTCTGTGTTGTAGTGTCCTGATGACGCCCAGTTTGTGCCCAGTGGATGATGAGAGTCAAACCTTAAATACTGATCTGTATGTGTAAACAGAGTGAACCTTTAAGACCAGTTGTCTGTACGATCAACTCAGTCACCTGAAACATCTCCAAGTTTCTGGCTTTGATCATCAACCTGTTGGTAGTTCAGCTCTGAACACCAGTGAAATGTTTCTCCCACTGAAATCGCTGCATTCATATGAACAGAATCAACGCTTTGGGATCATGGAGTTGTGGACAAAGTCTCAGTTAATCAGATAAAGTCAAACCTATAATTGGTGAAGAGTTCGCGGATGATATGCCCCTTGATGGTAAAGAAGTGGATGTTGTGTGGACTAAAGTTCAGAGTGGTGGGTCATTCATAAAGTATTCTGTTCCAGCTGCTGGAGGACAACATCATCACTTTTGTGAAGAACGAGCTGAAGAAGATCCAGAAGGCTCTGAATCCAAATAAGCCCCAGTGCTTGGAGTTTCAGAGGGAGGATGATGAGCAGAGGAGAACAGCAGAGAGGCATTTGTGAAGATCACAGTGGACTTCCTGAGGAGAATGAAGCAGGAGGAGCTGGCTGACCGTCTGCAGAGACGTAAGAGGATTTATCTAAAGATTTAAGCTGCTGGATAAATGAGAGACTTGTGACACCAGTGTGTTCAGTCATTTCTCAGTGGGTCAGAAATTGTCATCAGCATTTTGTAAAATATGATTGTTAAAGTTGTATTTTTATTATTATTCAGAACTTCCAGCTGCTGTTTGTCATCGTAACCTTAATCAACTGAAGAAGAAGTTCCAGTGTGTGTTTGAGGGCATCGCTAAAGCAGGAACCCAACCCTCCTGAATCAGATCTACACAGAGCTCTACATCACAGAGGGAGGGACTGCAGAGGTCAATGATGAACATGAGGTCAGACAGATTGAAACAGCATCCAGGAAACCAGACAGACCAGAAACAACCATCAGACAAGAAGACATCTTTAAAGCCTCACCTGGAAGAGATGAACCAATCAGAACAGTGCTGACAAAGGGAGTGGCTGGCATTGGGAAAACAGTCTTAACACAGAAATACAG